TCTTTTGAGGGACCTGGCACAACTTGAGTTCTGAAAGAAGGGCCGGACTTTAGGCCGACGTGGGTCTAGCATGTGGGGCCCACGTCGGTTTCGCAAGTCGGGCCCAAGTGGGGCCCGCTTGGGCAGCCCACCTGGGCTGCCCCAGGGGACCCACAAGGGCCTTGCTGGGGTAACCCACATTGGCTTTCCTTGAGAGGCCCAAAGTTGGCCTACGTGGGCAGCTCACGTGAGGTCGCCCGGGGAACCTCATTTTGTTCGGGATCACTTCTTATTTTCCTTACGGTGTGGGGTAATGCAGTGCATAACAAATCGCGCATGCCTTATTTTTCCCTGGGGGTTTATGGAAATATTACCATTTTCATAAATTAATAAAACGTCCTGTGCGAGGCCATAAAAAACTGGGCATTTCAAGTGTATGATATGGAACAAAACAAATTGTGCATATTTCCATATAAAATCTTGTTGGACAGGAAATCGGGATACCTAACCAGCTTGAGCAGTCTACAGACACCTAAATTTAAAACAGATACGACATTCTGACGAGCTTGTTTCGAATTCACCCCACAGATTCAATAATATGCGTAAAAAATTCGCAAAACGGCCTGTCAACATAAACGATGAGTAGTAAGTTAGTTATAAAGTTTATCAAGCTTAAAATTCCTCGCTCACGCTTAGAAATACAATCCTCGGTTATTCGGTATCAAATTAAGCCCACGACGGTTTTACATGGCAACCCTGGTTGGTCATGCCCACGCTTTGCCACAATGGAGACTACACCTTCGTATACGTGGCCCCCGCTGAGCCAAGGTGCGACCCATGGGGTTTTTACATGGGCAGCCCAACTCGGGTACGCTCACGCTTAACCGCTATTTAGTCCACATCAATGCCTTTTGCTCCCGCAAAGTAGATTTAGGTCCCATGGGGGTTTTATATGGGCAGCACAAGTTGGGCATGCCCATGCTTTACCGTCATGGAGCCCCCACCTTCATAAACACGGCCCCCGCTGAGCCGAAGTGGGTTCAACGGGGGTTTTACATGGGCAGCCCTAGTTAGGCATGCCCGCGCTTTGCCGCCGTGGAGCCCACATAATCGTATTTGACCCTCGTAGAGGCGAGTTGGGTCCCACGACGGTTTTACATGGCAACCCTAGTTGGTCATGCCCACGCTTTGCCGCCATGGAGCATACACTTTCGTATACGTGGTCCGGGCCCGCTAAGCCAATGTGGGACCCACGGCCACATCATTGCCTTTTTCTCCCGGAAAGTCGATTTAGGTCTCATGGGGGTTTTATATGAGCAGCCCAAGTTGGGCATGCCCATGCTTTCCCGTCATGGAGCCCCCACCTTCACAAACGTGGCCCCCGCTAAACCGAGGTGGGTTCAACGGGGGTTTTACATGGGCAGCCCAAGTCGGGCATGCCTACGCTTGGCCTATGTGGAGCCCATATCATCGCAACTTGGCCCCCGCACGGGCGAGGTGGAAGCCAAGGGGGTTTTACATGGGTAACCCTACTCGGGCGTGCCCACACCTTGCCCCCATCTTCACTAACTCCGCCCCAATATTGCCGAGGCGAAGGTATATGTGCAGCCCAAGATGGGGGGCATGCCCGTACTTTGTCCTCCTGAAGCCCACATCCGCGCAAACTCTGCCGCCGCATAGCCGAAGTGGGACCCACGGGAAGCCCAAGTTTCACCAACGTAGGTTTCGTGGGGGCTGCCTGCGAGCCCCCACTGCCGACGTGTGCCACTCCTCTTGTGACTTAAATTACGTGAAGGTTTTTTTTTTTTTTTTTTTTTTTGGCATTTTCCGAGGAAAGTATTATCGGCAAAAAAAATTAAAGGGAAGATTCCATTCTTCCTTCCAGTTTCACGGCTCCCACAGCCTTCGTTAAACTTAGTCTCTCAAACAGTATATAGTTTGGGATCTAAACTTGCCGCTCAAGCCCTCGAAGGAACGTAACCTGTTCCTTTGTAAGTACGTCAAAAAAGCGAGGAAATTCGTTCCTTTTCATATTCTTGCTAATGTACTACTCCCAACTTCAAACTTCAAAATGCATTCCACAATTGTAAAAACAAACAAAAAATGGCGTATTGTCTTGTGAAAACGCGCTATCTTCTTTGAGGCGTCATCACCTGGTCATTTCTCTCAGTAATGGCGGCAATAAGTCCGACCCAAATAAGTGCCTTATTTTAAATAGTTCGTCAGCGAGAGTAAAACAACTACCCTGTGGCCACTTGACTTTATCCAATATTCGCCGCCATTTCCAAAAAGAGCTGATTCACCCATTATTACCCTTTGGGGAAATGCACACCAATTGAAACAAAACCACTGTATGAAACGGCATCATGAAAGATTGTGTTAAAAAGTACTGGTATACTTGACTTTGAAAGTACAATGTACTTATAGTATACCTGACGTCAAGTACGTACATTGCACCCGATGTACTTACTACATTCTTGAAGTACATAACCCCATTTACTTTGTACTTTATTTTAAGTACTTTTTAATGTTCATTGACTGATTAATCGATTGGTTGATTATTTATGTATTTATTTATTTAGTTAGTTATTGGTTGATTGGTTGATTGATTGCAGCCACAAGATACCAGAAGAGGTTCCCTTGGCTGCTGCCAAAAACATTCAGCGAAAAAGACTACAAAATTGCGTTTACGAGCAAGACACGCACGAGGGACACTGCGTCTGCTTTCATGTTCCAGCTTCTCAACAGAAAAGGTGACGTGCAGTGCGTAATGCTTACCTGATACGTACAAATTAATACATGATGTTGTACGTCCAATCCCGACCTGTAAATCAACTAATCAGTCTAGATTATAATAAATGCTGACTCTTGGGTGAGTTGGCTCTGAATCTTTAGTAGGATATTTTACGCCAGAACATGCAATGATGGCGGGGCTCATACTTTTTTTTTTAATTTATTTAAAACTAATATACGAGAAGTTCATCTTTTCGAGTGGAGAATTCAGTTATGGTAAGTTACAGGCCAAGAAGGTAGCGGCAAATGCCCCTCAAAGGGATTCATATATCCCTCCGCCACCTCCGCATCCAATAGCGTCCCACCGTCTCCGTAACGTCGTGGCCAACGCGGGAGAGGATTTTTCCTTCCTGTGAATATTTGCTTTATATTTCGACTTTGACTTAGCGTTGTGGAAGCTACGAGAGAGAGGTTAGAATTTTCCCCCTCCGATGGAAACAGATACTACTTTGGGGGGGGGGGGGGGGAATAGGTTCCCCCTCCGATGGCTACAAAGGCCACTTTCAAGGGCTCGGTTCCCCCTCCCCCGAATACAAAGGTCGCTTTCTTGAAAAGTAGGGGTCGGAGACAAGTTGGCATCACTCTATAGCCATTATCTATTCATTGAACCGGAACAATGGGCGTTTCCAGTGAACTATTCGTTCGATTGCGGATGGATTTGAAACGGGCGCATCACGCTTATGAAAGTAGCTTCTCCTACCTTCTTGACTTGTAACCGACTATAGTGGATGCGAACGTTGTAGCTAAATTTCTTACGGAGAGAAAATTTCGAAGCTCGATGCGTAGAGAATGCCAAGGTTTCACGATATATGGTACATTGCACGGCCGTCAATATCACGCGGAAGCACACTCACGCAGTAATAATTTTTTCAACTTGTTTTACGAAAGGTTTAAACATGTACACAGAATGTTAAAAATTAGAGTAATAACTTTCCATAAAAAAAAAAAAAAAGCTACAACAAACGTCAATAAACACGTTTTCGAGACTTATTCACAAATTATTTGCCAACAAACTACTCCATATAAACTGGCACCGAATATATCAAAATGAGCGTTTTTAAAACATTTGACGAATATATAAAAAGGATGTTTAGTCATTATTTTTATTTTGTTATTAACACAGAAACGCAGCTGATTTCTTAATTGTGTAAACATTTTCCCTTAATATTTTTAAACAAATTCATCTTTTTATTTATTCTAAACCCTCCTCAGCCATTTGCAATAATTTCAGCTAACGTATGTTGGCAGAACATTGGGTGGCGTATGACCTCCTCCCCCCACCCCTTCCCAAGAAAAAACAACGATAACAGATTTTCACTTAAATTTTGCGAGCTTATCCTCGTTGTAAGGTCTTTACCCCACGACGCTATCTCCAAAGAGACATTTTCTAGAACCGAAAAAGGCTGTACGTCAGTGCTGCTCGAAAGCGCATATTCAAATGCTCATTTTGATATATTTTGCGCCATTTTGTGTGCAGCTGTCTGTTGGTAAATTTGTGAATGCATCTCTATAACGTGATAACTTTTCGTCTTTCGTAGCATTCTTTTCATATAAATATTTTATTGTAATTTTAATAGTGTGCGTACATGTTGTAGACCTAACGTAACATGAAGAGAAAAAAATTATTACTACGTGCATGCTTCCCTGTGAAATTTACGGCTGTGCAATGTATCATAGTGAAGCCTTCACAATCTCTACGCTTCGATATTTCAAAGTTTATATCCCAGAAAGAAAATGAGCTAAAACATTCACATATGGCGGAATGCTCCTCTCAAAAAGATGGCTTTCGTATATATATATATATATATATATATATAGTCTTACATAAATAAAAAAAAAATATTTCCACGTCCGATCATTGTATGATAGGACGTGGAAACATATATTTATAAGTTGTGGTTTCAGTAACGAAATATACCCTAAGCTGCTGCTAAAAATTATGTTGATAATTACGTAAATTCGCACTTCTTTACCTCCAGTATCCACTTGACTCAACTTTCTGATGCTCAACGTGAACAGCGGGACAGTACCCAAATGAAGAACTCTGCCAAAAAAAAAATAATTTCGTGTTGGAAGAGGGAATTGTTAAGTAATCGCAGAACAGCTCGAAGTCATGGTATGTTCTAAAAGTTATATGAACGCAACTTCGTTAACTTCGTAATTTACTGTGACTTCTATTATAGATACACCTGCAAAGATGACCATTTTAACCAAATTATGCTTTTCAGGTCAGGTAGCTGTAACTTTAACTTCATTAGTTTTCGAGTAATTGTTATAGCTCTGGTCAAGTGCCAACGCACATGCCCATTTCATCTGTTCCTTTATTTTCCAGACTTCAGAAAAGTCGACTTGTCCGGCGTTAACGACAAGTTGCTCGACTTTCCCAACCTTTGTGAAGAACTGCTCAAGGTAGGAAGCAGTGAATGCGTGGGTGTCAGCACGCAAGTCTGTGGTCTGAGTTTTCTTGATCGAACGCTCGAACCAGTTCATAATGTATTGTTCGCTTCCAGGAAAAGGGTATGAGCAATCAAAAGGTTGAAGAAGAAGAAATATTTTTTGACGGCTCTTACGTGAAGAATATGGTGAGGTCCTTGTCTGAAAGGACTGGCGTTGATTTGGACATCAGTGAGTGCAACTCTTGTTTTTCATTTCATTTTAAAAATTAGTTTTTTGGACTTCATAAATAAATTTCGCGTTTACGAATATGGCCTCTTAGCGCCGCCATCTTGCTGGCGTAGATAGTTTCATAATCAGGCCTCGCTAAGGCGCTCCCATGGTTGCCAGACTGGTACCCAAACAAAGCGGTCCCCACTCAAGGTGGCCAGACTAGCTTTTAACTCATGGCTGCTTGCCTTCAGACGTTTATAACAAGTTTCTTTGCCTACGTGACCTCTCGGTACTACGCATGCGCAGGAACTCGTTATTTGTAAAACAATGCACCCGATCATAGACCTTATCGTCTAGTTCCACGTCCAGCAGCACCACCTTGGCGTGGCGTAATTCAGTTACGCAACTGTCATAGACGCTGCTTCTACAATCAGTGCCCCCCCCCCCCCCCTCCTCTCCATTGTCCTCTTCCCGTTGTTCGACGCGCCACTGTTTTAGGGACGATCGACTGCTGTAGCGACTGCAGTCTATTCAATGCAATTCATATGTTTTAAAGCCCGACGTCTATACTCTGCTTCACCTTATGATGTACCGCAGTAAAGGCTACAAGCGCGAGCTTTTTGCTCAGGGACACATCTCGGCGGCACAAGCTCTCGTGAATTAAGAACAGCTGCCAACGCTATGACCTCGCGCTTCTAGCCTTCTCTGAGGTACAACATAAGCTGAAACGGAATATAGATACCGCTTCCCCGTACTCTATGAACACAGCCTCCGAAATTTTTCGCGCGTTCTGCTCCGGCCTCTCCAAACGCTCGTCTGCACCGCAAAAAGAACGAGACGAGCTAGTTCTCTAGATCTCCGCATGCGGCGCCTATAGCCAAACCGGAAATGGAAACAAAATCACCTCAAAGCAGGCTGTCAAATCTGAGCCCGCAGCATAAAGCTTGCATCTTCATTGTTCTCATCATCAGAATAGAGACAGGTAAGGGAATCTGCGTTGAGTCGTAATTTTGCTGATCCGGTCTTTGCGCTTTTTCGCTGGATGATACCTCGGAATGTAAGATTTAGTGTGAATTTATATTTTTCCTCTGCGGATAATATCTGGGCCGGCGGGACAGACATAGAAATATCTTTTTGTCGTCATGCATAAGAACAACTTTATGAACTTCGCTTACGTGCACGAACATTTGGTCTACACCTTTCGTGCTTTGTGAAGAGCAACCTTCACATTTCGATCAACTTCTTCCTTCTCAAAAGTCTGTGTTTCGCGCTGGTATGGTGGGCTAGACGGGAAGGTGTGACGATCGCGCTTGCGAAAGTGACTTAATGGTTCAGTATGCGGAGCTGTGGCGGGTGTTAGCGGGGCGGAGAGACATCGATAAGTGGATACCAGCGCGCCATCCTAAACCTTGCACCTCCAGCAAGCCGCAGGAAGGCGATTTGCCTTTCGGCGATGCCGCGGCTCTCCTGATCGAGCTGTAATAAATTTATCATATCATATACTATACAGGGAATAGAAGGTGAAATAAGAAGTATACATCGAGGGGCTTGATAAGCCCACCATGCTTTCACTGTGGGTGTATCTCAAAACGTCCCATTCGCATTTGAACCTTGCACATTTCGACCCATTCTCATTTGGTCCTTTTCGTTTGAACCTTCTCATAAGATCCGAGTCGCGTTTTTCGCAACTGGGCCCATTCTCATTTTGCCCGTTCTCGCTACGACCGAATGACACTAGTTCGGCATGCTTCTAACGTCGTTATGCCTTCGCGGCTTTGTTGATGAGCCTTACCTTGCTTGGGCCCCCAACATACCATCAGATATATGTTATGTGTAGAGGTACGCACTGAGAATCGTACACTGACGCCTGCTTCGCTTCCTCTAAGCAAACCAGAAAAAAAAGCGATGAACATTTAATTTCGAAACTTTGTTTGAACAGAAATAGCTTACATAATAGCAGTGGTTCTCAACCATTGATGTTTCGCGGACGCCTAGTAAAAAGGCGGAGATGATGGAGGACCTTGTTCGGAATGATTTATTAAATAGATATAACTAACTGCTAGTGTAAAGTATAGATTTATCTCATTGACATACACACAAGAGTACTCTGCCGAAAATCGGAGCGTTTCTTCCCAACGTTAAGAAAGACAACTAATATTGCTGTGCCTGACTGATGGGACAGGGCTTCGCGGATTCCTAGGATGTCTTCGCAGACCCCCTTTTGAGAACCACTGCATTATAGAAGTGGTGGCATTGTCCCAAGTCGAGAGACCTCAAACAACGTGACATTTCGCAATATGATCGGGCTGCGATAAATAGTTGGTCTGTTCTACAGTCAGCTAGTGGGTTTTCACGACGACCTCGACGCACTGCTAAAACCCTTAGCAGAAAGAGTATGCCTGTAGTGTGACACACAAACACACAAATCATATCAATATATTAATATTACTCCCCCCCCCCCCCCCCAAAAAAAAAGAAAGAAAAAACGATTTTGGTATAGAAAGAGTCAAGTGCGACGGGGTCAAAGCGAGGTATTATTGAGATTGGCTGTTTTGAAAAGGGCCAGGTGAAAAGGGCGACACGAGAACGGGCCCAAATGAGGAGGGTTGGAATGCGAAAGACGAAACGGGAAAGGACCAAATGCGACAGGCCCAAGAGAGAAGATCTTTTTGAGAATGGTTGTTTTGAGAAAGGTCAATTGAGAAGGTCGAAACGAGAACGGGCTCAAATGATAACCACCCCTTCACTGTAACGTCGAGCTCAATGTGCCGTGCACAATTGTGTAATAGCTAACAAGCAGCGACGCTGTTGCCACTTGTTAGCTATTGCTAACAGGCAGCAACAGTGTTGCTGCTTGTTAAAACTATTGCTAAAAACACTGTTGCATCCCAGGCTGCAAGACATGGGTATGTATCCTCGTAATCTGCAGGCAGAAAGGCGACGTTGTTTTGTGTCCCAAAAAAACCCGGAAGATTCCAAACAAGGGAGCTGGCTATACTAGCGCCGACAAATGCTTAGAAACAAGGTCAACAGTAAGCGAGCTGCATTTCGAGGAAAGATTTATTATGCGGCACTTCACGATTGTGCTCAACGGTGTAGACATTTTATTCTACTTTGGTGTTCGCAGTGCAGTGAGGCGCTGCTTCGGGCACATCGATGCTAACGCTGCGTGCTGAACAGTCTTGCCATTTTCTCCCGCTGGACGAAGCCAGAGATTGTCACACCTCCCCTTCTAGCACACGTCATAGCGCTGCTCCTAAGGTTCCTAGACCGACGATAATGGTGATGGTGACAATTCCCGGCTACTTCTTTGTATTGTTTGATTTGGTGGCGGGCGCCACCAAGCGCCCCGCAGCAACAGTCGCTACCGGCGAATGCAATAGCCTGAAGAGCGCAGCCAGCGCGCCAAAAATCTCGGAGGCCATGCTATAAAACAAGGGGCGCCTCAAACAACGGGAGGCTCAGTACTGTCATAGCCTCCTCTATACTGACAAATCCTGGCAGATCGTCACGTGACGTGGCCGCCGAAAGAGAAAAGATAGAGCGGCAGACAAGTGTCATGTAACGGGCGCCCCGCTACGGCGAGACGCCTAAACACACTTTTCCCGAGAGATGGAATGTCCACTCGTGCTCCTCGCGTTCCTCGCGCTACCGCGTCGTTTCTAGTCATGTTTGAAAACCATGTTTCGGGTCCTCGCCGCTGCAAAAGCTGTGCGCTGAATACCAGACTCCCCGAGAAATGCTCTGTGCTACCAGATCCTCGCGCTCAAAGTTAGCGAACTGCCAGGCTTTGTGAGTATAGAGGAGGCTATAATAATGTATACCTCTCGGGAGGCGGACCGAAAAGGGGGAAGGGGGGGTGCTACCTTTCTCATGGGAGTTCCACAACTGAGTACTCTAGTGACGCTGGTTAGTGGATAGACGGACGCACAGCTCTGACGTCATGGGTACTGGTGGATACAATGGACCGTTTTCAAAACCCCATTAACCAACTTTGGCGGACGCCATTTCTTGAACACGAAGTGGTTGATAGGGTCCGAGTCGTCCCTGAACGTTAACGCAGCCCTCGTGTCCAGTACATGCTCGGAGTGCGTGCCCCCAAAAATGCCAGACCTTGACATATGGCGCACAGCTACCAGAGAGCGCGCAGTTTTGAAAATGGATCCTTTTTGCTGTCGTTGTATCTACCAGACTTTAAATGACTGCAACGTTCCTAGAAAGTGGACGCAGGGTCATTTTATCAGAAGTAAAGAGGAGGCGTGTAGTGCTACGAGGCTGGTCGTGGAAGGTCTAAACGAGAAAACCGCTGGCTCACGCCGCAGAGGACATCGAGTTGATGGCGAAGATGTGCGCCTTCGAGGTGGCCATCAACGGCAGCTCGCCCTTCTGTAACCTGTTCCGGAAGGAAGACCTCCAGCTCTTGGAGTACGCCGGTGACCTGGACGACTACTACAAGGACGGCTACGGCCAGGAGAGGAACTCTGCGCAGGCATGTGGAGTCATCAGAGAATTTGTCAGCAGGATCAGGTAAGGAAAGAAGTCAGCCAGTGCATGATTTTCATGTGTGAGTTGAATTCTGCTTTAAGCTGCGGCCTTAGCAGGCTTGTGCACAGGGGCAAATATACGGGTCAGGCTGGGGGGAGGGGGGGGGGGGGGGATTGGACTGATATGCAGAAAGATATAACGTAGTGGACATCTCTGACATCACGGACGGACGTAACGTCACAGACGAAGATAATTGAATTTCAGCGATATATCTTCCTAAAAAATATTGTGTGTGCCCTTCTTTTACAACAAAATTAATTCAGGGGGGGGGGGGGCGGTCGCCCCCTTCACCCCCCCCTCCCCCCCTCCTTTTACATCAGCCCCTGCCTGCCCAGGACGCAGTAATCGAATATTCCTCTGCGAGTAGCTTTCTCGTTGTTTTGTGGTTTTTATACTTTACAGTAATCAAATCGGTAACTTGGTTTCTTTTCTTTTTTTATTAGGCTGCTCGTTTTTGTGGTCATCTAGCTTCTTTACGTGTATTGGGGTCAGTTACTTTTACACTACGTTCAGGTAAAAGTGAAGACGAGTGTCGCGTAGTTTAGCACCGAAGATTCAACCCTTTTAAGTAATCAAAAAGATTCCAGTTACTTTTTTTTAAGAAATCGTTGAGATTTATGATTTCAGGTAATTACTTAATCAAAAAGAACACTTTACTGAGACTGCTAGTAACTGAACTCTGTTTTCCTTGTAACGTATACAGCGGTAACTAAAACAACAACTGGGGATCGGGGGCCGAGTAAACTAGCGCACACCAGCTCGGAGCACGTGGAGCGAAAGCTCGTGCTGCAGAACGCAGGGATCCTGGGTAGAGTGTACTACAAGGTACAAGTGGGACGGAGCTACAGGCTCCGCTCATGCTTTCAGTTGCACCTCAAAATGTTGAAAGCGATCAGGTGGAACCGAGCCACTTCGATCGCTGCGCCACCTTCACTGCGATCGAGCAACGACACAGGTCAAGGTTATATGGGCCTTAGGGGCTATTGGGGAGGAGGACAGACCGTTACGCCCCAAGCGGTTAACTTGTCAACTACACGGATGGGGACAACAAATACAAAGATTCAGCGCTCGGCCGACATAACCGAACGCGGCGTCAGCGTTCGACTGGAGTTCGTGTTCTCCGGTGAGGGGGAGGAGGGGCTCTTTTGTTACCACTCCAGCCTGCATGAACAATGCAGCATGCACGATCCCAGTTTAGCACAAAAGCTGAGTGGGTCAAGCTCGCATTCTCTGAGGAGAGATCCGGCACTTAACGTCGCTTCGTCGATTGTTAGTATTTTTTACATTAAACTGTGCCCCGCGCTCTATTGTAGAAGATGACATGGCCATGCCTATAAGGCCTGTTGGCATGTGTACAGGCCTTGTGTTGAGTAAACACCGAGCGTGGGGAAAACAAACGGGTCAGAGCGCCCCCTATAGTTCGATCTCCTGCCCAATATTGTGTGTGTTTTTTTTATGATTTTGACGTCAGGGGTAACGTCAAAGCACCACGTCATGCCGACGTGACGTTACGACGAAGCCACGACGTCATCGTCAACTACGACGTACGTGACGCCAAGACGCTATCGTTAGGCCGTCGTGACTCGCGTCGCGTCGAGGACGACGCCGTTTCGCGACATCGAGTCGCCGTTGTAACGCGGCCATGACATCGCGTTGTTGCGTCGACGCCCCACGCAACGTCAAACATCGCTATGACGTCACGTTAACGTCGTTCTGACGTCATCGTTAACGTCAACGTCACAACGACGTCACCACGAAGCCTTGACGTCGTGTAACGTCGTCGCCTTCGCCAGCATCAACGTCAACGCGCAGTCACGGCGAAGTCTTGAGGTCGTGTAACGTCAAGGATGACGTCAACGTCGACGTTGTGAAGTTGTCGGGACGCCTTTGTGACGTTGTGTTGCGTCATGTTGACAACGATGTCGACAAATTGACGCCAAGCGTCCTTATGACGTCGCATTGACGAGGACGCCGCCATCTTGACGTCCCGTGACGTTGTCGCCGACGTCATCAAAGTCAACGTTGACGTCGTCGTTGTCAACGCAATATGACGTCAGAAAGCAGTCTTGATGCAGTGTAACGTACGTTGTCAACGTCGATGACGACGTTGACGTCAACGCATTGTCCTGATGTCGCTTTGCGTTGTGACGACCAGTCAGGTCGCGGTGACTTAATGTACCTGACGCCTGACATCTAGGTTGTATAAAAATATAGTCCGGCGTTCTATTATTTCTATGACCTTGATCAGTGTGCCGGTCGAGCTTGGCTTTGGAACGAAACGCGTTTTTCGTAAAAGACGGCTAAGCCGAACCACTTCGTTCGTACCACCCGAGAGGGCGCTACGTGCGAAATGGCTTGGATTAGCCGTTTTGTTCCACATGCGGAGGTGCAGAAATAGCACTCCAGTGGCCCCACTCGTCCTTTCTAATACATTCTATCCTGGGTTCAACCATAGCCTCCTATATACCGACAAAGCCTGGCAGATCGCTATGAGAAGCGGCCGCCAAAATAAAAAAGGTGGAGCGGCAGATAACGGATGAGAGTAGAGCCACGTGACTGGCGCCCCGGTGTCGCGAGACGCCGAAACACACCTCTCCCGAGCGAACGAGTGTAATTCGGGTCCTCGACGCTGCAAAAGCTGTGCGCTCACGTCCAGGTTCCCCGAGAAATGGCTCTTTGATGCTCTGTGCTACCAGATCCTGGCGCTCCAAATCTACGACCGGGCACTCTATGACTGCGTCGTCGAACTGTCAGGCTTTGTGAGTGTGTAGAGGAGGCTATGATCCAACATAATGAAATTATAAAGCGCGAGGGACAGACACGGCCATGAAGTAGACAGGACAGCGCTATACCCACAACTTATTTAAAAAAAACTAATTAAGAGAAGAAAATTATAGAAGTTTTACGGAAAACAAAAAGGACGAAAATAAAACAAATAAATTAGAGAAGTTCCAGAGTCACAGCAAATGTAGATATAAATGGATATTTGTAAACAAATAAAAAATTAATGGAATTATTAATAAAGACATTAAAAATGCAAAGTGAAGCACAAGTAATAAAAACAAAAAAAATGGCAAAGTGAAGCACACTCATAAATATATACCATGGCGCAACCGTATAGTATACAAAATGCCATTAATGACCTGCGGGAAAATTATGTGGGACAATCTGGCCGGTGTGTGAACACCAGACTGCGAGAACCATGCAACATCTCTCAACTCCTCACCGGCAAGCCATCTCCCAATACACGTCCGTGACTGCCACTGCACACCGATCTTCAAAGAGACAGAAGTCCTTAAATAGTACCGTGGTTAATTAAAGGTCAAGAGAACTTTACGAGGCGCAGACAATCAAGGCTTGTGGTGACCTCTGTGTCAGTGCGCCTACTGTGTCCTTGTCAGACAAATAACTATTTTACCTCCACCGCACTACATGAGGTGTCAGAAAGTTTCTAGTTAGGTAGATGATCATCTCAAACTTCATGCTTCAAAGTCATGTTAAAATAATGTTAAAAGTTGATTTTTTTAATGCCTTTAATAAAAATGTCTATTTTTTTTATTTCTACATATTCAATCTCCACCCCTGCCCGTTTCAATGTGGATGAGCATCGTACCGACGTGCGTTCGTGTATCAATACTGCGTGATGCACGTTAAAGTCCCTAGGTTAGCGATTGTACCGCACTGAATAAATAGCTCATCTACAGCTGAGAGACAAGTGGCCCGTTGTCAGGGTGTAAAAACATGCATACACACATCCATTTTTTTTTTCAACATCCCCAGACTTTAGTGCCACTTTCCCATTGAAGCTGAAAATTTCTTACAACATTTCGGTTTCCAGTCTCAGGAACTCCAAGCAGAAGGTTCCTTCATGAGTTCCTACCATCGTGAATTCCTTCTACCATGAGTCCTTCCCCGCTAAATTTAGCAGAGAAACTGAATTGTTTTGGGATCATGTGACATCAAGTAATGTGGCTTCTTTTTTTACAGCGGTTCGCTCTCCCATATGGTTTGCGGGAAAGTAGACGCTGCAGATTTTAATAAGGCCGGTTCACATTTTTGCACTTTGATCGCGACCGACTTCTTGCGATTGATTACGACAAGAAACAAACTCACACTGGCACGCTAGCGCCATCCATGAGGCGATCCTGTAACTGCATTTCGCTAGAGCGAAGGTGTTTGCGCTATTTGCGACATCCAGTGTGCGTATTATCTATGAGAAATGGGCGCGTATAATAACATTTCTAAAATATATTTTACCCAATAAATAAAGCAGCGATGCGCACAAAAGAGATGGAAACGTACGAAAATCACAAGTATACCGACAGTTGGCGCCAGTGTGTTATTTCGTCGTTAGAGATAACGAGATGGTCTAACGGGCACTCTGTCGTAAGCAGCGGCAAGGGTGCGGGCCGTGCCTTCAGAGTGCATCTTACCGAAAACTAACAGGGAACGTGTCGGCACGACGACCTGTTACCGCTGTCGAAGGCGTCGCCACGGCCTGAGGGCGTCGCTCTACTTCTCTCATGCGGAAGCCCTCAAGAAGCTGATGACCCGCCTCGGAATCCACAAGGACCACGAACCGCTCACGGCCGACGCCTACTGCGACGTCAGGGAGAAGCGCAAGTGGAGGTCTTCTTACTACTCACCCTTCACCGGCAACCTAGGTAACAACGAAACGTTTTAATAGTATTAGTTTATTAATTTACCTGAATACCGTTACTAAAGAGGTTAAGGGAACCGCTTTTGCACATCCGATGCAATACGATGGGCCTTACGGTATGCACTGCGCATGTGCAAGTCTTCTGCGGTTTCCTTCTCTCTAGTCACTCTCGCACTCTTCTCCCCTCCTCTCCGCACATAAGCGGGACAAACTTGGAGCAACCGAGCAACCAACACCTCCTAGATAACAAAGCCGCAGTGCTGATAGAGATGTCGTCCTCAGCGAAGGCCAGTGTTGGTCCCAGGTTGGGCACGACGATTGCGTCGACGCAGCACTCGTTTCCAATCTGTGTCTTGCGTTGGCGATCGCTGGTGGCGCAGAAATGTCAGCACTACGGCCTTGTCTTGGCGGCGAAGAGCAACTTCCCGCAGAAAGGAGGAGGGTCTCTCTCTCTTTCTCAAATGGAGGGGATGAATTGAGGGGAGTTTCCTTCTTTCTGGCTGCTCGTTGGCTTTCAATAAATAAAAAAGAACGCAAAATGAATTGCATAACTTTTACATATTCAGCACCCCTCTGCAGTTAAACTTGATTGGAAATGCAAATCTTTTTGAAGTTGACAGGATAGTGAACCAACATTTAATCGTGATAATTTCGCTGAAGTATCCTAGCTGTGATTTGGGCTAGCAGGCTTACAGAATAGAAGCACATTTATCATAACGCTAGAATCAGACAGTCAACGAAAAAAAAATACAAGTGCAATCGAGCTGGTTGAAGCTTACTTACCATCACGTTTAGTACCGCTGGAGCAAGGAAACAAAAAGCAGTATAAATGGAAGGTACAATGTCGATTTTGGTCTCTTCCTTCCACCTTCAATGTTTCAGTTCTTCTTTATCCCAATCTAAAACCGCAGTCACTCTGCGCATACATCATACAAAATACGCGGTGTTCGTTGCAAACATAACAAAGACTTTTAGCCAACCGTTACCGTGTTCCGGGTGCCACACTATACCGGAGCCTTTGAAGCATGTTTTTAAACGCGCGCCCGGGTGATGTACCCTGACCGCGGGGCGCGCGCTTAAAAGCATGCTTCAAAGGCTCCGGTAGTGCTGTACGCGGAACGCGGTAACGGTTTGCTAAAGGACCCCCATGACACAATTATTTACAAACACGCCTCAAGAATGTTCGAGGCATGTATGCTTGGAACATGTTTGCAGACAGCTTTTGTATTGCCAGTGGGACTTGACCATTATACTACCACACCTCAGAGACAAACCACGCGTCAGAGAGTGCCAGCAGGCTGTGTTTTGTACGATGTACTGGCAGTCTGACCGCGGTCTTAGCTTATTATTGGACATCGTGGCATGCGTTCTCGATGGCTCGTTCTTCTTGTCGTGGTTGTCGTCTGCTCGCCAAAGTGACGTCGTGGCTTTCTTGTTCTTCCGCTAGGCATAGTCCTGTTCGGATGCAAAGGAAGGCACCCTTACAAGGTCGTCGCCTTCCTCAACGAAAAAGTGGTCAGGATCGACGGATGTCCGCACGACTTCTGCCCTCTTACGGACTTTTTGAACACGACCGCTGTGGTCAGGTCCAGACGCTGCGACCACAGGAAGATCTGCGACCCCGACTGGGACCCGTCAAGCTATTTCGACTCCGATGCTGAATAGTCGATAACGGCTGTCACAAAATAGAGGGCGACGCTTGAAACAAAAGTATGGTGCCTGAAAAGCGTCTACGATGGTGTTTTTTTAAATTTTTTATTGATGATGATAATGATGATTAGGAGTTTATTGGCGCAGCAGCATGATTTTTTATTGATTACGTCACACTTGCGACATGCCGTAAAGTAACAAATGCTACTCTATCATAGCTAAATAGCTTTCCGCGATCATGGCGGTGGCACACTGTTCGCTCGTCTTTTTGCCATCACCTTTACAACCAACCACCAGTATGGCGACATTCGACAACATGACCCGCAGGTTGTTGTGGCATTTTGTAGCCACGCTGGGACCATTTTTTATCATAGGTGGTTAAACGCGCCAGTCAGACTCGATCCAGGTACCATGCCAGAAGCAAGCAGGACGGAACAAGGTGTCCAAATGAGCTGACTGCTAGCCAACATTTCCTGGAGCACGGTGCCCCGGACCCTAACACCGTAGCGTCACACCAAGATATCAAACGCGATTGGCTAAAGAGAACGATGAGGCAGGCTCTATGACCAATAAGCGTCGGGTCATTTGGGCCTTCGGTTAATCCTTATTTAGAGTTAATTGGAGTGACATACGACGTCATGGCATTGCGCTTGAGGCACCCTTCCAGAAGACAGTGGTGTAGCAGACCAGCGGCAAACGAATAAAAAAGACAGACATAAACATCGGTCGTGTCGTTCTATACTTCAGCGAACACTTCAATTTTATCGGTGAATACAAAATTGTGGCGAGCATCGACGCGTCACCTAGCGGTAAGTGCGTGAAGTGTGGCAATGAAGAGCTTGTGCCTGTAAAATGAAGCTTGAAACGCAGGTCCGGGTTGTTTTGTACCACGTTGTTCGCTACCACGCCACCATTTCAGAAAAACTCGTTTGCAGTTGCTCTCGGACGGACTGGGTTATCTCGACGACGAAGACGCGCAGTGAAGAACAGCAACGTGGAGGGCGTGCAAATGAAATGATCTTATTTACATATGTTTTACTACTATACATTTTTTTATAGAACTCAATTTCATTACGTTACAAAATTTCAAAGAGTTACTTCTGTACCCTAATATAGTAAAAATAAATTCGAGGCCAAGGTAACAACCGAACAACCAGGAAGTGAAGCCTAACTCGTGCTCAGTGTCATAGCGGCGCACGCGACACTGAGCAGGACGTAAGAAAATTTTTACATATACGCAGCTCGGAATTGTTTCCTGGATACGCGATAGGTGGCGGCAGTGTCGTAAGCGGTCGGTCGGCACTCCGTCACGCTCGAACGTTAAAGTGTGACGTTGAATCCACCGCCTACTCAGACGCAGCAGACGCCTACTCAGACGCACCGTAACGCATAAAGGCTAGCCCACATGGTGCGCTTTTCTCCGCGTCTGCGTCGCGTCTGCGCCTGCGCTTTGACGTCACTTCCGGCGCCGGGACGAAACGCAGCGTTTTTTGGCGCATCCCGGCGTATCTGGAAGAGCCAGATATTTTGCGTCCACGCGTCGCGTCTCGCGCTGCGTCCAGAAGGCAACAACCAATGAACCGCCGTGTTCACTAGTTGCAAGGAGCGTTTGAATTTTCTCCACTGTAGGATTGTAGTTTTCGCCACAGACCTCGCGACGAAGGCGATAATAATTATAATAATAATACTTTTTATTTGCACATATTGCGATACCCACTCGGCAGCGTGCGAGGCTAGGCAAAAAGGTCGAGACCCTTACGCAGGTGGGCCTGCTAGCCCGCCGCCAAGTAGGGAAAGGGATACGGGAAAGGAAAATAAATAAAAACACTCAAAACAGAAAGATACACACAAATACGGGTAGCAGCCCTGTGCCATCAAAGCGCACGCGCGCACGCACACACACATACCCGCGCGCGCGGAGTTTACAAAATTTGCACGCTCGCGGCCTTCAATAAAAACGGCTTTTAGGCCCTGCCAACGCTAGCAGCAGGGCGAACATGGGTAGTTACGTCCTTCCCCCGGCGGATATCAGTTTATCATACCTTTTACACAAGTCCAGGGAATCCTCCCTGCTCCGCGGGAGAGGCTGACGCTGCTTCAGCGGAACAGAGAGGACCTAGCGAAGTACAAAAGCGTCCTGCACTCTGGCAGGCCAAATGTAAAGAATACAAGGACACCGAGAGACAAAGGTACAAAACTAATACTACCGGCAACAACCGCTACAACGTAACCACTGTAGCGGCCAGCGGCCAGCTGTAAATGTTTTGGCGCGGGCGATGGGGATGCCAATGGCGTATCGAAACGTGGATGAGGCGTACGCACTAAAAAGAATGAAAATTAGTGAAATTGAGCTTCATTCCGATTGCTGTAATTAAAAATGAGTGCTTACTATTACTAAAATTAAATATTACGGCATGTAGCCATCATTTACCGCGCGATTTCTATTTAATGTTTGCTTTTGTTTCTTAAGCGCGTCTGGCTACGTTGGGCAGACGCTTCGGAAACGCAGACGCGAAGCGCTGCACGGTAGCGCTGCGTGTGGTTTGACTGGGCGCACGCGTCCTGCTTAGCGCGCGCGCCAAGCCGAGACGCGCGTCTAGACGCACTGAAAAACGCGCCATGTGGGCTAGCCTTAAGCCGTCAGGTCTCGCGCGTCGAGTCTGCCTCGCGCTATATACACACAGCACGCACGCCGAGTGCTTTCCAAGTCAAGACGTGCCAACCCGCCATCCCGATTAGGCCAAGGTTGCGAGCGACTGTACCTCGTTTCACCGTAACTTGGCAAAGAGCGATCTCTACGGGCCCCCTCGAGCCATTCAGAGCGATGGAGGAGAAGCACGTGACAGAACCAGACTTGGCCTTTGTCCCCCATCGAAGATTAGCCTGCCTCTAGAAACGTGTGCAAAAGCGGTTTTCCTCTCCCTCCCGCCCATGGTTTCAGTCACGTGCCTCCATTTGACGCGCTGATTGGCTCGCCGAGACCACTGCCTTCGGCGTTTGCCAGGTTAAGGTAAGTCGGAGTATAGGCGTCGCGAGCCGCATCTGCTAAGAACAGATCATCTCGCTGACAGCCTCCACTCTAAGCAAGAAAAAGAAGCAGACGATACGAGAAGGCCAAGAAAACTACGACAGAGAAACCGCTGGAGTGAATCCAAACGAGTTCATTAAGTCAGTCGCCATCTTGAAGTCTTCCTCTACACCGTTTCATACAAGATGGATCGGAAGCCCTCTGTCGCCTGGCTCGTTCCCGGATTGGTTCAACCGGGAAAGGATAAAAAAAGCGACTCGGTTTGGATTCTGAAAGCCGGTTGGTTGAGCCGGTCGAACAGCGTAGCGACGTCACAGCGTATTCGGGACGCGAGTTTTTCGAATCGGCTTTGTAGCCTTTATTTCGGCTCATCTTATGGCCGAACGAGCTACAGGCTTGCAGAACTTCAGGAAAGATGTCACATATACCGTCGCTCAACCTCGTATTGTATCATACGCTGAAAGTGAAATTGAAGGTGAAACCTTTTTTCAATATTTATGTGTGCCCTCAACAGAGAAAGCACTTGGAAGCATCTGCGAAGAAACCATAAAGACGCGGTCAGACTGTCTTATGCGGAGCGCAAATTCGTCTGCTTCTTTTGCAGAGGTTGTGGGGACGTCAGAATGTTGAGCTTCGATTGGCTCTGATGGAAGGATGGTGGGTAGACCTCAAAGCAAGCTGCCTTGAGGTCTACCCACTATCCTTCAGTCAGAACCAATCTGATCTAGGAGTTCTGACGTTACCACAACCCCTGCGAAAAAAGCAGACGAACTTGTGCTCCGCATACCATTACACAAAAGACAGTCTGCAAACACTGTCCGAGGCGCGTTTCTTTTACAAAAACTTTCTTTAGACATATTCGAAGAATAATTATGCGTGAAACGAACAGGCGTATATAAATGTGTCGGCATTTTTTTTTTTTTTTTTTTTTTTTTTGTGTTAACGTGTCTGCAGCGATTAGCGTTGTGTATTTTTTTACGTGTGAGCACGTGTGACTGCAACTTCAGATTTCCGCGGAGCGGGTTCTTTGTGGCAAAGATAAGGCGGTGAATTCAAACAACGGGTAACACGTACGGCTCATACATCACAAACATGTTTTTTTTCTTTTTTTTTTTTCCTTTGGTACTACTGTCGCTGCTGCTGCTGCTGACTTGTATTGTTATCTGTATTGTAATCGTTTTGATTTTCAAGAATGTCGAAAGAAACTGCCAAGCTGCAGGGTAAACAAACTAAAAGACGAAATTAAAAAAAAAAAAAGTTTAAGGTATTTAAGGAATTTTGGGGAGAGAGAGAGACAGACTAACGAACTGGAATTTTGTGACATTCACACCGAGTTAGAGGAGATTAACGACCGGGTTAGGTTTATGAACGATCCTCGTTCATAACCTCACCCCGTCGTTAATCTCCTCTAACTTGGTTGAAGACATTAAGAAAAAAACTGAGCGCCGTCATACGCGACAACACCGCCCTCCCGAAGGAGAATGTGAAACATGGCGAAAGGTGCGACGCGATGGTCATGTCGCTCAAGGAAAATGAACTGGTCCAGTGCGTGCAATATTCGCGGCGTCACAACATCGAAATTGAAGGTAAACCGAAACGGAAAACGTCACTGAACTGGTATTCAAACTCAAAGACCTGAACGGGGAGCATATTACTATCTCCGATACCGAAGTGTGCCATCGTGTGCCGGCCAGGGGAAATGCGTTTCAGCACCGGCAGAAACGCGACTCCGTTCTTAAAGGGGTACGGAAACGAGATTCCAGCGCTCATTTTCTAGCTTGAATGTGTTGCATGTTGCAGCATAACCTCAAAAACACCAGTCTTTCGTTGAAAGGCACAAGAAAACTAAACTTAAAGCTAATTGAACGATATTTCAATGTGCACCTAGAGGATGCCTGTGAAGCTTAGCTGGGAGGTAATCTAGCAACGTTGGGGATCTTGCTACGTAGGTAATGACGTAGCAAAAACCGTTACGTAGCCGCACTAAACATCGGAGCAGCGCCGCTCTTTGGAAGTATGCTCAACTGTTTAAAGCGGTCATTAAAGGGGTCATGAAACGAAGCAGCTTGGGCGAGTTGGTTGCACATGATTACACACACCACAGCGCACTATAGCAAACAACTGACTGACAACTGACAAGTTGTCAGTCAGCGCGGTTTGTTTGAATTTTGCTTTATTTTTCGTGTGTAAGGTGTGGGTCTTGTTTGCTATGGTGCGCTGTGGTGTGTGTAGTCATGAAACGATTTTCCTGTTTCTTCCTCCTTAGCTTTAATCCTCAACTCAAATGCGAATTGTGAAATCAAGTCGTCGTGACATTCTTCGGCACCGGTGCGATGACTCCTAGCTTGCACCGTGCGTTTTATGCACACCATAGAGCTTGTCATTCGCCAGTGACGATAAGTTTCGTCAGGGCACTCATTGGCCACGAACGCGAATCCGAATATTCGTCGACCGATTTATTGTTGACGAGCGCATACGCCCGAGTGACGCAGTTGTCGTGACCAATGCATGAGCTGGGCTCGGCTGACGTCAGGTTGGCACCGCTGACGCGCTTTGAAAACCGCGGATGTATCATAGTGAAAAGGCGGAGAGCTTTCGAAGGAAAGAAGGTACAAAATAGTCCGCTATATTTTCAAATGTTTGTACCGAAAAGTTGGCTTTTGACTTTCTACCCTCT